TTCGGTACTTGGATCGGTCGGATCGTGAAGACATACGACTACATCAACCGCGTTGTTATAACGCTTTCGCGAACGGTCTACGAGGGTACATAGACAACACTCTCCCCTCTCGTTGCTATGCATCACCATGATGATCCTGTGTGTGCGTAGGAATTTTTTTAAAATTACTACGTTCTCCAACACCTAGAAGGCATCACAAGGTCCACGATAGTTCCCAAAGTTCTTGAAACATTTTGAAAAAAATACATATGGCACTAGAGGGCTATTCTTTTGGGCCAGCCACATGGGACGGGCCCGATAGTGGGGCGCACTCCACATGCCTTCGGGGCCAAGGCAATGATGGCAACCAGGGTTTGGTGGTCGCAACATCCCTAGTGTGTCGTCCCTAGGGAGGGCTCCCTCGTGAAGCCTTGCCTCCTCCACCCCCCCCCCTCCCCCTCTCTCTGCACTTCTCAACCATCGCCACACGGATGTTCCAATACCCAGTCTCCGGTAGTTGTTCGTCCTGGACGGCGAAGCCCTGATGAATCTCTAACTCCATTTGCGTGGATACTAGCTAAGGGGCCGTTCTTTCGATCCTAGACCGGGAGAAATTCTCGTGGTTGGGAGGTATAACCTAACTGCGGAATCGGCATGTCATTGTCAATGTTTTCTTCTCCGTTGCATTTGATGGTGAGATTGATCTAATCCTTCTTCATACTGATCCTGGACATGTACGTACGTACGTGGTAGAATCCCCGGCCCATCCATGGCGTACTCACCCGGAAATAGCCGCCACCTTTCCTCTTATACCCCTCAAAAGAAAAAAGCTACCTTTCCTCTCTCTCTCTCTCAAAAAAAAAAGCAGCTAGCTTTCGGGCACGGTCTTGACGGGCGAAAGTGTGCACTCGTCTATGAACGAAATGTCACGGTCTCTTCGTTTCAATTGCCTAGATACTGTATGTGTTCACGGTTTCTAATTAACGATATGCCGGTTAATACTACTCCACTATATACTGTATGTGTTCAGAGTTTTGGGCTCCAGCGATCGAGTGGCGCAAAATGCTACATGTTGTCTGTGAGCGAGATGGGATTGAATCGCTTGGGTTACAGCACATCTTTACTGGAGACAGAGGTTGGACCCAGATTCAAGGTACTGTAATGAATTCTCCTCTACTACCTCTCACATCTCGGAAATTGCTTGATTCATACTCTGTTTCTTTCTATAATGTCTATTAATTCTTTCAAAAGTGAGCACCTTTGACCAAGTTCATAGAAAAAGAATCCAGCACAAAAACGTATGGATGTATACAATACTAAATAGATAAAATACAAAAATATACAGTAGTTATGAAGGTTGGTATTTTCTTTCTATGAGGTCTATTGTTAATTCTTTCAAAAGTATCTTTGACCAAGTTCATAGAAAAACAAATCCAACACAAAAACTTATCGACGTCTACAATACTAAATAGGTAAAAAAAATTAAAAAATATAGTTATGAATGTTGATAAATTCTTCAATAAACTAACAAAAAATGTTTGACCTTTTGAAATAATAATACCTCGTACGAAAAGGAAGCCGAGTGAGTACAAGGTTGCGTTGTGTTCCTTGAATTAAATTTGCTTGACAATCAAGCTAGGTTCTCCAAGGTGGCAGAGCTGGTGTCCGTGTGCTGGTTCATAATCTCTGGCCACATGAGCACCAAGGAGCTCTCGCCGGGCACCCACTACGCCGCCTGCCTCATCTTCAAGCTCACCCGCGACGCCTCTGGCCTAGCCTCTCGTCGCCAGAAATCGTTTGTCAAGGTAGGCGGGCAGCTGGTTGGGAGCACTTGCACCGCGTCTCTCCATCTCTGCAACCATGCTTCTTGCGCTAGCGATGGTGGCGAGTCATCATCATCATCGTCGGCAATCAACCACACCGCAACACAAGCGCATGAGCACAAGGAGGAGGATGAAGGAGGCATTGAGTTGATGTACGCAGCTGACAACTAATAAATACTAGGTGATGAAGCCACGGCTGTAGAAGACGTTAGCATGGAGCTGCAGGAGCTCGAGGAGCTACACTGGAAGAACGGGCTCATCGTCGAAGGAATCGAGATAAGGCCTAAGAATTGATTAATATGGTAATTATATCCCCATACCATATATACCAGGTATACCAGGGATTGGAGATTTGGAGTTGAGTATCAGGAAATTTATGTCCCGCTTTGGATGATAAGCAGTAATAATAGGATATAGTAAATGTTTGATTTCGAATGTGTCCTGCTCATGAAATATTGGATGTATATTCAAAGACTAGGCCCTTCGGACACTGTTCTACCGGCCGCCCCACTTGAGCCGGCCCAGCAGCAATAGCTCGTATTTTATTTTATTTTTATTTTTTGGAGAAAATAGCTCGTGTTTTAGTATCTATTTCACTTTTACCTTCTTTTGTTAAGGCACTTTAAAATGATTAGTGTTAACTAAAATAATTTGCAGATAGTTCATAACATGATAATGTATCTTGCAAAACAAAACATGACGATGTAGTCTTAAACAATATTTTAAAAAGTTCAGCGTGTGTTTTAAAAAAAGTTCAACGTGAATTTAAAAAAATATGAACATTATAGTTAAAATATTCAGCATCGAAAAACCATGTATATGAAAATTATATTTGGAACAATTCATGTATTTATGCCAAAATATACACATCATAAAATAGGAAACATTGAAAAGAAAGAAATGAGAAAGAAGGAAAAAGGAAAATAATACAAGCCTGCAGAATGAAGGGTTCCCAAGAAAATCATGAAAGGCCACGCCAAAAAAATGACTCAAAATACTTGAGAGTAGAAACTATCAGTAGCAAGTGCTACTGGCCTAGCTTACGTCAGCACGCCCTATGGTGATGCTCCCGTAGTGCTCTCACTAGAGCGACCGATAGCAATTGCTGGATTTGTTTGCTTGCTTCGCAAAAATCCTACACTTACGATATCCAATAAGGATTGTTTCTTACGAACCCCACCAACCCCCCCCCCCCATACCCGCACCTATTTCCGCTCGTGGACCCATCCTCTTACCTAATCTCTGACCATAATTTGACAATTAAGGGCCATTTTTTTTGGGCGCCTTAAAAATAAGTTGTCTCTCCCCGGCTTAAAATATAAGCCGCTCCTCAAGTTTGTTGAGACCTTTAAATTATCTATCTCATAACTAGTTTAGAAGCCCTAATAAATAAGAGAGACGGCTTTTGGAACAAGTTGGGGCGGATGCGGCTTATTTTTTAAGGTGCCGAATAAACTGGCCCTAAGTTCTTGACAGTAATGCTATAAGGATTGTAGCATAGCTGGTTTGCTCTCGGAGAAATAAGATTTACAAATATGGTTGATTTTACTCTCCATACAAGGCATCAATAAATGAGCGTACCCAATAAGATACTATCAACACAACTGTAGCAAATCTTCTCTATAGTGTTCCCTGTCGTGCCCCCGCCCCCCTCTCCCTGTTTTAAGTTTTCCTCCCACCACTGATTTTTTCGCTGATTTTCCTTGAAAAGCGCCTCAACTACCCCACCATATTGACTTACATAACAAAATTATGTTTTCTTTGATAAGCCAATAAATACTTACCAAGCAAATCTTACTTTTTTTAGACATCACATTGATATGCGCATGTAAATTACGGGACTAGAATATGAATATCTATACCTCGTTGCAACGCACGCCAGTTATCTGGTACTGTAAAAAAATGTAGCAAATTGTACAAATTTGATCCTCAAATATTGCAATGTGCAATCTCCATATCACCGGACAATCCATGGATGATAAATTGGCAGTGCATTTACAAACTTGTACATCTCATATAGCAACAATGACTTGGTGAGAAGACAACACAACAGTCCTTCCCTCTAAAGTGGACTTGATTGTTTTTGTTTTTGTTTTGTTTCTTTTTAATTTTGAAAAATGTTAACAAGACCTTGTCCAGCAACTTCCGTATCATAGGCATAACATCAGTTGTCATGGTCTTCCTTTGATTTCTAACAAGCATGGCACAATCTGGGGGAAATTGAAAAGGGAGAGAGGTGCAGAAGCAACAAAAATACTGTATAGGAACAGTAGCACAAATTCAGCAGCCTGCATAGCATAGCAATTGATGGCTATGTGATCATGACAAGAAAAGTGTTGATTTACACGTTGTCAGGTTTGTGCTCTATATGTGGCGTTGAGGGTAAAAGTATCTTCCATGCCCTTGTGACCTGTCCTAAGGCGCGCACTTTTCCGTTTCGCCATGGGGAAGCGTGGAATATTCCAGGAGAGGGGTTTTTCATATTTATGGGCCCGGACTGGCTTCAGTGTTATACATTGGTATTGCACTTCACAAACCAATTATTTTGAAAACTGATTGCTCTTTTGTTGCATCTTTCTTGCAAGAGGAACCATTGACAGGTCTCCTCTTATGGATCTTAAAAAGGAGGCTTTGAGCGTTTCAAAGTTTATTAAGGATCTTAAGATCATGAAGATTGATAGGCAGGCTAGGTAGCAGGTATGATGGTGTGCTACAGAACTTCATCATCGCCTCTGATTCGAAGCAAATCATCCGTGATTTTTGACAAAGCTATCAAGGGAGAATGCAAGGGCAATTATTAGTGAGATGAATTATAGAGCTATTTCTTTTAACTGTAATTTTACTTTCGAAGGTAGATGATATATTGGCCAAGTACACACATTGTTTGGATTAGAGAAGGCATGTTTGGTTGTCTGTACCCCATGATCCATTTAGTATCCCACTACTTGTGGAATTTGAGCAATAAAACTTGGTTAAACCCGTAAAGAAACATGAACTTGCATGAGGCTCGAATAAAAGAAAAAGCAATTCTCGTGTTGAGAATTAAGCGGGCCTGGCTATTCGAGCCCAACTTATTGCAGATTTTCCTTTTATCCACATGGCGGGAGGCTTTTCTTTTCTTTTCTTTTCCTTTTCTTCCTCGGCGAACCCAATCCAAACTCCACTCCACTCTTTCTCTTCTATCCGTCCGCCTCCGCCATGGCCACCGCCGCCTCCGCCTCCGCCTTCCTCTTCCACGCCCCGCCGCGCGGCCACCACCACCACCACAAGCCCAAGCCCGCCTCCAGGCCCACCACCACCCTCTGCTCCGCCGCGCCCTCCTCCACGCCGTCCCTCGCCGACCAGCTGGAGCCGCTCTCGCGCACGCTGCTCACGGACAAGCCCACCCCCGCCGCCGACCGCGCGCAGCGCCCCACCCCGGAGCCCACCTGGGTCAACCCCTCCAGGCCGCGCCCCACCGTGCTGTCCCTCCGCCGCCAGCGCCGCCGCCCGGCCGCCTCCCACCCCTCCTCGGCGCCGCTCCAGCCGCTGCTCCGCGACCTGCGCGCGCTCCCGGAGGACGCCGACCTGGCGCCCACCCTCAGCGCCTTCTTCCCGCTCCCGGGCTCCCCGCCCACCTCCTCCGACGCGCTGCTCCTCCTCAACTACCTCCACCCGTCCTGGCGCAAGACGCTCTCCCTCCTCGCCTACCTCCGCGCGCTCCCCGCCGACGCCGGCTTCGCCGTCGACACCATCCTCTTCAACGTCGCCCTCAAGTCGCTCCGCGCCGCGCGCCGCTGGGACGAGGCGGAGCGGCTGGCGCTCGACATGCTCGACTCCGGCGTCCCGCTCGACAACATCACCTACTCCACCCTCATCACCGCCGCCCGCCGCTGCCGCCAGTTCGCCAAGGCCGTCGAGTGGTTCGAGCGCATGTACTCGCCCGGCAGCGCCGTGCTCCCCGACGAGGTCACCTACTCCGCCGTCCTCGACGTCTACGCGCAGCTCCGCATGAAGGAGGAGGTGCTGGCGCTCTTCGACCGCGCCCGCGGCAGCGGCTGGAAGCCCGACCACGTCGCCTTCGCCGTGCTCGCCAAGATGTTCGGCGAGGCCGGCGACTACGACGGCATCCAGTTCGTCTTCAAGGAGATGCGGGAGGTCGGCATCAAGCCCAACATCTTCGTCTACAACGCGCTGCTCGAGGCGCTCGGCAAGACCGGCAAGCCCGGGCTCGCCCGCAACCTGTTCGAGGAAATGACCGCCGAGGGCGTCGAGCCCAACGCGCGCACGCTCACCGCCGTGGCCAAGATCTACGGCCGGGCGCGCTGGGGACGCGACGCGCTCCAGCTCTGGGACCAGATGCGCGAGAGGAAGATCCCCGCCGACAGCATCCTCTGCAACACGCTGCTCAGCATGTGCGCCGACGTGGGGCTCGTGGCCGAGGCCGAGCAGCTCTTCGAGGAGATGAAGGACCCGGACCTCACCGACGTCCCCCAGCCGGACAAGTGGAGCTACACGGCCATGATCAACATCTACGGGAGCATCAAGGACGCCGACCGCGCGCTCCAGCTGTTTGTGGAAATGCTCCAGAGCGGCATAGAGGCCAACATCATGAGCTACACCATCGTGATCCAATGCCTCGGCAAGGCGAACAGGATACGGGACGCCGTGGAGGTGCTCGAGGCGGGGCTGGAGAGGGGCCTCAAGCCCGACGACCGGCTATGCGGGTGCCTGCTCTCCGTCGTCGCACTAAGCAGCGGCGAGGAGACGGAGCTGGTGCTCGGCTGCCTTGAGAAGTTCAATGGAAACCTGGTCAAGCTGATCAGGATGCTCGGGGATGACCAGGTGGGCACCGACGAGCTCAAGGAGCAGCTGAGGGCCGTGCTGAACGCCGCGGAGACCGAGGTGCGCCGGCCCTACTGCAACTGCCTTATCGACATATGCCAGAACCATGGCCTCCCCGCCCGGAGGCCGAGGGAGCTCTTCCGGCTCGCACAGTGCTACGGCCTCTACTCCAAGCTCCACATCAGGAAAGACGACGAGTGGCTGCTAGACCTGCGGTCCCTCTCAGTCGGCGCTGCCAAGACGGCGTTCGACGACTGGATGGCGGCCCTCTCAGAGCGCGCCGCGCAGGGCCAGACCCTACCACAGTCCTTCAACGTGTTCACCGGGTCCAGCACCCACAAGTTCGCGCAGGGGCTGGCGAGCGCCTTCGCCGCCCACCTCGAGGAGGCGGCGGCACCGTTCCGTCCCAGCGAGTCCCAGGTCGGCAGCTTCGTCAGCTCCAGGGATGAGCTAGTGCAGTGGCTGCAGACGAGCAGTTCATCGTCTCCGGTCGTGGGATGATTGATGGCTGAACATTGCCACTATGGGTTTTGATGCTGAATGCTCCCAGTCCCAAATGGAGAGGGGAGGTGGACTGAACTGGGCGTGTTGTCTAGTAGACTCATCCTCCAGTCAGTGCAGTGCATGCATTAGTTATTAGGAAGTCAAGTATGATCTCTGATCTCTTCTTAAGGGGTATGCAATGTAGTTCCTCCATACAGAGATACTGTCCAGAAACGATTGATCCGGTTCGTCGTACTTAGTTATGTAGGGTAATATGATTCTGTATGAAAATTTTGAAAAGCAACTTCTCAAATACTAGTACTTACAATTTCACCTTTGTGCAGTTCCTGGCATTGTATGTATTACCTCTGTCCCAGAAAGCTTGTCTTAGATTTGTGTTGATTTGATGACTGCCTCAAAAAAAAAAAAAAAGAGGGAGAGAGCTTAAGCTTGTGTTGATTTGGTAGTTGATATCTGTCATCAGTCGTAATACCATACAGTAGGCGATCTGTTAATTTCTACTAATATAGGAAAAAATAAATGCAGGTCCTGTAGAACTAGTCTAGAGACTGAAAGCAGACTGTGTTTGCCTGCTCCAGTATCTGTTCACAGTCACCTGGTCTGTTGGCCCTTGGAAAGATTTATGGTGCTGCTGCTACTGCTGCCATGCAGGCTGATAGAATGGAAATGGAAGAGGAGCACTGGTCAGTTGTTGAAGGTGATGATTTTTCCACTATTTTTCCTCATGGTAGACATAAAAAGGTTTGTATGATGTTAGGAAAAACATGAGGTGTCTAGTCCCGTGGCTGCAGACGGGCGTCTCGTCGTCGCGGGATGACGACTGAATATAAGCTGCAATGCGTCTGTTGAATGCTCCCAGACCCAAGGTGAGTGAACTGGGTGGGTTAATACTACTACCTAGTGGGCTCACTTGTCAGATTTTGAAATGACACTTGTCAGACACTATCTCACTTGTGTGCACTCCAGGCATTGTATGTATATCTTGCTGATTGGATGTTGTGCTGTCAAGTTTCTTATTGGACTATCGCCGGAAAAGAAAAAGGAAAAGTGTGAGCGGCTTGTGTTTGTTATATCTGCCAGTTGTTGTGGGAAATTTGTGGGCTCTCTAAAAGTAGAGACTGCCCTCTTCAGCCTTGGATATACATACGTATGTTTTTGTAGGGATGCTTCAGTTTCTGTTAGTAGCACTTAGCCTTCTTCAGCCTTGGATTTGGGAGCTGTGACACTCTGTGATGCAGGAAGTGGCTTGAAATGAACATTCCCCAGTATGATTCACCACCACCACCAGGACGACGACGACGATTCCTTGCTGATCGCGGAAGAGGAGCACCGATTAATCGCTCAAGGTGATGTAGTGATATGCTGCTGAAGAGGAACACAGGCTGTGTTTGCTTGCCAACCTGCTTCAGTACCTGTTTTCTTAGGGTTGCTTCAGCATCTGTTGGCACCGAGAGCTGGTGTGTTGCCCTCTTCAGCCTTTGATTCTTTTTTTTTTTTTGAAAGGTCTTCAGCCTTTGATTCTGGGAGCACGATCGCGGGACCATTGCTGGCCGAACATTTCCGTGACGGGTTTTCTGCTGGCTGTATGGGCCTGGCCTCCGCAGCCTCGCTACTCACAAATGGGCTGGGCCTAGCTCGGTCCGAGTCGCGCGAGTCCACCACAAGTCGCTTCTTCCTCCCACCGGCCACCACAGCCCACACAGACGCGGCAGAGAGAGAGAGATCGGAGGGGGATCGCCGGGCAGAGATCGGCCGGAGAGGGAGGAGGAAGATGATACTCGCCGTGCTCTTCGCCAACTCCGAGGGAAACATCCTCATCGAGAGGTACGTGCCCTCCCTCCCTCCCTCCCTCATAACCACCCCGAGATCTCGCGCTCGCGAGCCGCGAGATCCGCCGCCTGACGAATCGAATCTCATCTCATCTCATCCCCACGGGGAATCTATCTGCAGGTTCCATGGCGTCCCGGCGGAGGAGCGGCTGCACTGGCGCTCCTTCCTCGTCAAGCTCGGCGCCGAGAACCTCAAGGGGGCCAAGTCCGAGGAGCTCCTCGTCGCCTCCCACAAGTACGCACTCCACTCCACTCCACTCCCATGCAAAATCGATGGGGAATTTTCCAATGGGCACTTCATTTCGTTGCTACTAGTACACACAAATGCTCCACACCAAACCCAACTGCATTCTCATGTCAATTTAGGACTACACTAAGTAGCCAGCATTATGAGCATCACTGCACACATTTCTCTAGAATTCCAAGTAGATCACAGACATTCTTCTGTTTTTTTACATAGGTTCACTGTGTTCAGGAATCAGGAGTAACCAGAGTAGCTACCCAGAATGAGGTACTTACCAGAGATACATCCCATTGAAACGGCAGAATGAGATACTTAACGCCTATCTTCATCAGAGCAGTCCACCGGGAAGGTCAGACCCAAGTGACCCTGAGTAGTTAGTTTTCCACGACGATAATCCATCACTAGTAGACGGCCCAGCTCGGCATGGACTGAGAATTGTCCATCAGTACCTTCCATTACTGAGCCACCGCGTTGATCTTGTTCCAGGCAGTGACGGAGCAAGGCCGAGCGGTCCGTGGGCCGCCCAGCCCATGCTATTTTCTGTAGTGTATACTTCGTTTTGGGCCATGAAACACAATCCCAATAATTATTTTCTACAGTCGGCCCTCCCAACTTTCTGGGCCAAGCTCCGCCACTGGTTCCAGGGACATCGAATGCTTACCTATTTGCGGTCCTGGCAGAAAAACTCATTATGTAAATTCCAAAACACACCATAGTCCAGCTGCATAAAAAGAATTGCAAGCATGGGCTCGTTTCGTTTCAGGCACCAATCAATCAGTTCAGAGATAGATACAGGTGCTAGTCCACCATTACAGACATTCTTGATTTGCTATTGGCATTACTAGCTTTTTAGGGGCCAGGATTTGTATTATTAGCTGTTGATAGCCCAGTAAACTGCAAGAATTCTTAATTAAAATTAACATTTAAGCATCCATACAGTTAACCATATGCTAGAGAATTTGAGCTGCTACAGCATATATGCATCTTGAAGTCCCAGTCCAATGGGTGCCATGATTTCAATCTGAACCAAGCATGTGCAGTTTTAACTCCTCATCCATAAATATCTGATGTGGTGACACTCTCCCAGGTCGGTCTCCATTGTGTATACCATGATCGGGGACATCTGCCTGTACATTGTCGGCAAGGATGAATATGATGAGCTTGCTCGTGAGTGTCATTGAGTTTCAGAAGACATTGCTCTTGTTAAGCGTATCATGTTCCAAAACCTTCATTATCTCACCTCACTTTTGCCTTATGCTTGGCACTACTAATACACTGGCTGTACATTTGTAGTGTCGGAGGTGATCTTCGCTGTTACGTCGGCGGTGAAGGATGTGTGTGCGAAACCACCCACCGAGCGCCTCTTCCTGGACAAGTACGGGAGGATCTGCCTGTGCCTGGACGAGATCGTTTGGCAGGTAAGCTTCGATCTAAGTTGTCTTGCCGTGTGCTAGCAGTTAAACATGCCTTCACCAATCGCCGGGGAGCGACTTGTTTGGTACTCCCAGTAATGGAATACAAAGTGGTTAACCTATCGCTGTCGGAGCGATAACAGTATCTGTCCATTGTGAATCCTTTCTTTGAGCTGCTGTTGATGTGGTGCTCTGTTGTTGCGGATGGTGCGTGCAGGGGTTGCTGGAGAACACGGAGAAGGACAGGGTTCGGAGGCTGATCAGGCTCAAGCCCCCTGTGGAGCCATGATTTTTGCAGTTGAGAGATGGATCCTTCCTGTGTATGTATCGCTTTGCTAGAGCCTGGGTGGTGCTCACAAACACTTGGCACTTGTGTGATTCTTTTGTCCATGGATGTACTGTGTACAACAAGTTGATGGGAATGTGATTTGGTATATGCTTTCAGTTTCATTTCATGGCATGTGGTTCGTATGTAACCCAGTAAAAATTCAAGTTCATTGCCCCTGCTCATGCACAGCCAAAAGCTCATCCACAGAGCTCTCTCTCGTTGCTTCCTTTCTTCCACGTCTCAACAGGAGGGGGCACGTGTCATGGAGCCAAGCTCCCACCCGTCCATCCCATTCCCATGGATGCATGCATGCAGCATCATCCCGTCGCATCCTCAAGCTTCTTCTGTAGCCACCTCGGTTCTCACTCATCCATCTTCCGGCGAGCTTGGTAGCAGGCAGGCGGTCGAGAGAGAGCTAGCCGAGAGAGAGACCTGCCGGCCGGCCGGAGACGATGGATCTGGTGAACGGCGTGCTCAACTGGGCGGCGATGCCCGCCATGGTCACCACCCTCCTGCTCCTCTACCCGCCCTACTACCTCTTCAAGCTCTGCTACTCCTTCCTCTCCTACCTCTTCCCCGACGACCTCAAGCGCAAGGTCGTCCTCATCACCGGCGCCTCCTCCGGCATCGGCGAGGTCACTACCCACTCCTTTCCCTTCTCTGCTTCTTCTTGCTTGTTACAGAATCGTCAGATGCTTTCAGTCCAACTTTCCTCTGCTTCTTATGCTACTCTGCTCTTCTACTTGTCATAGTGTACTGAATATACTCCACACATGAGCATATTAACTCCAAACAAACTTGGGATCTTCTCTTCTCCATGCAGCAACTGGCCTACCAGTACGCCACCAAGGGGGCATGCCTCGCCCTGGTCGCCAGGAGGGAGTGGAGCCTCCGGCAAGTCGCCGACCGCGCCTTCGAGCTCGGCGCGCCGGATGTCATCATTCTCCCCGGCGACGTCGCAGACCCCGACGACTGCAACAGATTCGTTCAGGCCGCGGTCGACCACTTCGGCCGATGTAAGTCAGCCACTCTCCGTTACAACTCACCTGGTTTAACATATTTCTTCCACAAGCAGTCATTCATTTGGGAGTAAGATACTAACTACGTACTTGACATTTACACTTGCGTTGTGTTGATTAATTGCAGTGGACCATCTTGTGTGCAACGCTGGCATTGCAAGCGTA